TATATGCTTCTTTTTAAGTTTGCTTTTATATTATGTCATTGGCAAAGGTTTTTTTCCCCCCTAGAGGACATGTATACTTGCCAAAGGGGGAGAGAGAGACAGAGAGAAAGCACCCTAAATGGGCCAGGTCACACCTCAATCCTTTTCCTCCATTCTTCTTTCCTGTAAGGATTCTACGTGTGCATGCATATTCTCCCTGGAGTGTTTTTCAAGCCATTAGGCTGGGATTCAAACCATGGTCGGCCATGTGAAATCTAGTTCCCTAAGCCAATGTGCTTTGAGACCACCTCAATAAAGCCCCTTTTAACACTAGTTAGAAAATGATTTTGACAAGTCATTTACCCACCTCTGAGATTTAGTTGCTACACTTATAAAATGACAGAGTTGGCAAAGATTCTTCCCCTATCAACTACCAAGTTCCTCCAGTCTAATAATCCAAAAATGCCTCCCCTAATTATCTAATACTGTCTTCGTAAAATAGCGTAAGAGGAAGAATGCCAGATATACAACCTGTCACTCACACTCTATTTAGAAGGCTCATTAACCTGTAAAATCTTATAATGCATATAAGATAAATAGAAGCTGGATTCCATTCATTTGGTATATATTTACGAGTGCTATGTGTCAGGTATACCATTCCAGCCATCAGATATTTAATGGTAAACAAAACAATTAAAAACCAAAAAACTCACTTGTGTATCATTTTTTTTAAGGGGGCAAGACTAAACTATAATATCTAGGGATATACAGTGGGATGATAAAACTATGACAAAAAGTGGGAACCAGCAGTTAGTGTAATGGCTATGTAGCTGGACTCCCACGTAGTTGACCGCGGTTTGCGTCCCAGACCTGGTGGCTTAAAACTCACGCTGGGCGCATGTGCGTGCGTGCCCAGGATCCCGAGAGGAGAATGGATGAGAGGGGATTGTGGCGTGACCATCCCCCCTGGGGGGTGATTTCTCGCTTTCTGTCTGTCTCTGTCAGTTTGGCGAGCGCACGCGCCCTATGCAAAAAAACCTCCCAAAAAAAAAAAAAATCTATGACAAAAAGCAAGAAAGTGATTACTACAAAAATTACTCCCCAAGTCAGAATAGGGTTCCAAGCTGGGTAAGGGGAGAAGAGAGTGCTGAGTAGCTATGAATGAAATGTAGCACAATGAAGAGGCTTCTAGAATAGGTGACAAAATTTTATTTTTTGACTTGGACAATATCACCTACATAATACATTAAGCCATAAATTTGATTCTTGTGATTTTCTGTATCTGTACTTTCATTTGGGGTAAAGAGGGAGCTGATGGACAAATTATATACAAAATAAGACACAGATGATAGATTAGAAGGTTTCACACGCTGAGAAAAATGAAAAAGAGACGAGGAATGCTGGGGGGAACATTGCAATTTTGAATAAGTGGTTAGGGAAGGTGCCGTTGAAAGGATAACATTTATGATCTGAAGTAGACAAGGGAAAAAGCCAGGTATTTAGTAAGAAAAAGAATTTCAGGCAGAAAGAACAGCAAAATTAAAGTCCTGAGGTCTAGAGTATCCCTTGTGTGTTCAAGGGATATCAAAGTCAATATGGAGGAAGAGAATGGTTGGCGACGAGGGAAGAAACGGAGCTGGATCACAGAGAGTCAACAGACCACTCTAAGAATTATGACTTTTAGTCTGGGTATGATGAGACAAACATTTTCAGAAAGGGAATATCGGGTTCTTAACATTTGAACAATATCTATAGGGCTGCTGTGTTGGGAAGAGGCCCGAAAGAGACCAGTTAAACTGGACTCAAGGATAATGACCAGGTTTGGGTCTTGAAGAGACAGAAATGGAAATGTCATTAATTCAGATTGGCAAAAGTACAGGAGGAATAGATTCGGGAGAGGCCAGCAACTCAGTTTTGTAAATGCTATTTTCACAATACCTACTAGGTAAGAGAAACAAAGGCACTGAATAGTCAGATGTATAAATCTGGGCACATAAATACTTATAAATATTTTAAAGTTTTCTACAGGTCTTTCTTGAGTATCTTAATCAACTTCTCATTCATATATGCATCACATGAGACAAGTTCACAGCTATCAAACTGGGCAGACAATGTAATACTGAACGGACTGCTATACTTGCCAGTGACTATGGAGAGTGAGGGCTGCAGCCAGGGAGTAGTCCATCGCAGAGCAAGGATTCAGATAAGCAGCTGGAAGCAGGCCCAGGAGCAAAACACTGACAACTCTCTCACTAGTCCAGTGGAGAGATGCAGCCTTGGAACCAGCTATAAAAAGGACCAGATTTATAAGACCTAAGGCAAAAACACACATCTCTCACATTCAACAATGGCCACAAAATAACCCAAATTGACAGACAGTGTACATATAAGATTTAATTGAATATAAAGAGAGTAAGATACAAAAATGGGTAATCGAGATTTAAACTGCTATCTCCCTTCTTCGAAGTGTTTAGCACAAGGGTGTCTCAATACCTACATACTGATTACAAGACAGATTCACTTTAGGGCCTAGCTTATGGTGCGGTGGTTAAGGCAGCTAGATCCCACATGGCTAACTGTGTGATGAGTCCCACATCTGGCAGCTTAAAAAACACACTGGGCACATGTATGTGTGTGCCCAAAATCCCAAAGGGGAAAATAGAGAAGGGATTGTGGCATGGCCACCCTCCTGGGGGGGTTTTCTTACTTTACCTTTTGTTCTCTCCAGTGAGTACAAGTGCCCTACAACAAAATTACAAAAGTTTTTAAAAACTGAAAAAAAAAAAAAATCCACGTTGCTTATAGGCAAGAAGATGTACAAAATATTTCTGCAGAATTATGCTAGTCCCAGACTTCAGAGAAGTGAAATGTAAATATAAATTAATGACAGCTGATAAATTCCTATAAAACATTACCTGCTTATTCACACCCTCTAATCTTTGTATTTATTTATTTTAGTTTTAGCATGCACTCGCTGGAGAGAGAAAGAAAGAGAAAAAGTGAGAAATCACATCCTGGCAGGATGGGTATGATGCGATCCCTTCTCCATTCTCCCTTTGGGATTTTGGGTATGCACACACACATGCCTGGTACATTTCTTTTTTTCTTTAGAGAGATTTTTACTCTAGGGTGTGTTGCTCACTGGAGAAACAGAGAGAGACAGAGAGAGAAAAACTAAGACATTGCTCCCCACCCCACCCCCCGGAGGGAGGAGGGAGGAGACCATGCTGCAATCCCTTTCTCCTCTATTCTCCTCTTAGGATCTTGGGCACACTCGCACATGCGACCAGAATGAGTTTGAAGCCGCCGGGTCCAGAACAGAAACTGTCATCAGCCATGTGGGAGTCCAGCTCTGGTCCTGCCTGGTACATTTCTTAAGCCGCCGGGTCCAGGACTCAAACAGCACAGTCAGTTATGTAGGATCCAGCTTCCTTAACCACTATGCCACCAATTGGCCCCCATGCTCTAATCTTTGGAAGTAATGTAATATTATCTTCCTCAAAACAAAGTTAAACCAGCCAACTCAAAGAAAAGCAAAGTTCTGACATAAACTTTCAGGATTATGGTTCTTCTGTCCCATTACTTCTAAAGAGTCCAAAACAGATACAGTACATGAAAACTTTATTATTATTATTTTAAGTTTCTGCTGGAGGGCATGTGCACATCCCAGAGAGAGAGGAAAGTGAGAAATGACCCCTCAGGGGTGATGGCTACACTGCAATCACTTCTCCAGTCTCCTCTTGGGATTTTGGGCATGCACACACACGTGCCTGGCATGATTTTTCTAACTGCTAGGTCTAAGACAGGAACTGCACAGCTAGCCATGTGGATTCTAGAGCCTCAAACTCCACACCACCTGCTCACTCCATTAAAAACTTATTTTAATCAAGTGAAAAATCATACAGGCTTTCAACATGTCTTTAAGAGACTCTATCTTCTTTTGGTTATACATCTCCTTTTGGAATCTAATAAAAAGGTAGAAGAACTTCTCAGAAAGATGTACATAGGGACATATATAAAAATCTGTCTATATAAGGTACTTGAAAAGAGTTAATGGAAAATGAAGTATGAGTTCATTTTGGTTCCAAAAATTTTGAAATCCATTCATAGTTTTTCACATGTATATTCTATGAACTTTTTAAGGCCCTCATACAATTTCAGAGACTTTCCTTCAGTCCTGTGTATGCCAAAAAAATCACTCTGCTAAATCTCAGCAAAAGAATCCACAAACAAAAAGTTTTTCAAATATTAGAAGAATTCTAAAAAGCAGAAAAACAGTACTTGCCTAATTTCTCAAATGCAACTCTACCTAAATGATTGACTTAAGAACCATGAGACGTCTTTATCTATGTGAAATAATGATCTCTCCAGATTTTAAAATAGAAATATAATTGACTCATTATTTACCTACAAATTTTCCAAGACTTATTTTAATTTCTAAACATGACACATTTGGAAAATGTCATAAAGTTTTAAATCAACCTTAAAGAAAATAAGCAAGGCAATTATAACTACAAATGCATATGATGCAGTCCACAGGCATGACTTTTCAATTACCCCTATCTTGCTCCTCTAAACAAGTAAGAATGACTAAATTACACCGAGCTGACTCTTCCTATAGAGTTATTTTATTTTATTTATTTATTTAATTTATTATTATTATTTTTTATTTGACCAGAGAGAGAGAGAGAGAATGCAAGCTCCCAGGTCCAGGACTTGAACTATGTTCAGCCATTTGAGAATATAGCACTTTAAACACCATACAATCTGCCAGCCCCGCTTTCCTTTTTAAGAATATTAAAATTGTTTAAAAAGACTTAGGTCAGAAGGTTCTCCATGAATATAAATGTCACCATTCAACCAGGCTTGGCACTGTCTGCCCAAAGACGTAAAACAAGTCTTCATTTGACAGTTTGACACAAAAGTCACTGCCCATAAGTAGCAAGTTCTACTAAAGGCATGAAAATCAGTCTGGGTGAAGATCCAGAGCCCAGAAAGCAGCAGAGATAGAGAGAACGTACAGTGGTGGTTTGGCGACAGGTGAATGTGCTGGACTCCCTGTGCTCTACACCATCCTGGGGTAGGCTGGTCCTGGAGAAATGCAGAGACATGCGCTGGTCTGATCACTGGGGTTCGCAGGAATAGAGCTGAGGAAAGAGACAACAGGGGATCATGTGCACCTCTCCTTTAACAGTACCGGCAGACCCTCTGAATGACTATAAGCAAGCTTACTTAATCCTAAATAGGGAATAAGATCTCATTTGCGAAATGAAGACAGCACCTATTTCACTAGGTTACGGTGAAGTCAGACAACCAGCCATTGAAAGACTGAAGAATCAATGAATCACTTATAGCAAAGGGCCTCGCAAAGTCTCTAGAATGTTATAAGCATTCAAAAAAATAATAACTTTTTTCCCCCTTTGTCTCAATCTCTCCTTTCTTCCCTTTGGGTGATTACCCTTCAACCAAAATCACATCCTTAACCCTCCCCTTCATCCCAAATAGTCTACAATGCCCAGGCACTGTTTCCTTTGCTTTGTTCCTTCTCTTTCCAAACTTGCTTCTTTAAAGTGGTATCTAAATTATCTACTTCCTCACTTCCCATTCTTTGGTTTTGAAACTTGTCTGTACCTTCACCATAGCTGCTTTGGCAGGTCACCAACCATCTCCATATGGCCATACCCAGCAGGTACTGTTCAGTTTTGTTTTGTCTTTTTTCGTTTTGTTTGTTTGTTTTTGTTTTTTGCCATAGGGCATGTGCACCCCCCAGAAAAAGACAGAGAGAGGGAAAGTGAGAAATCACTCCCTGGGGGGATGGCCACATCACAATCCCTTCTCCACTCTTCCCTCAGGATTTTGGGCATACATGTATATGTGCCTAGGCTGATTTTAAAGCTACTGGGTACAGGACTTGAACCATGGTCATCCACTTGTGAATACAGTGCCTTAAACACCATGCCACCTGCTGGCTCCAATACTATTCAGTTTCAATCTTATTAGTTTTTTCTGCATCACTTGGTATTAGCAGCCTCTCTGCCCTTTCCCTCTCTAACAGAACTCTTTCCTGCTCTCTTGATTTTTTGACATCCCATGCCAGTATCTTTCTGCATTTGCTCTTAAAATGTTAATTTCCCCAGGATTCTATCAGTTGCCATTGCTCTCCTCACTCCCTACAGCTACTGCAGGCCATCATCCTCATGGTTTTACAACTACTACTTATAAGCTGATGACACCCAAATGTGTAGCTCCAGCCCTGGTATCTCTTCAGTTTTCGAGTTTAACTGCCTGCTGGGCCTCTCCACTTAAACACCTAAATAATCCTCAAACTCACCATGTCAAAAACTGAAAGCATCCTTCAACCAACCTTCTCACCCAAACTTTTCTATTTGCATAGTCCCTACCCCATTTGATGACATCCTACGCCCTCTTTAACCCAAATCAAAGTACACTCTCCTTATCAAGACAACTTCTGTAATTTGGTTGCATTTCACCTTCCAGACTCATCTTATTTCTCATTTTGATCTTCATACTCCCCAATTTTTATTTCCTATCACATTACACAATTTCTACACTCATCCTGGTAGTGCTAACTTTAATCCCATCTTTTCCTGGCCTTCTCTATCCTCAAAACTCAAATGAGACACAGCTCCTTCAGTAAGAAGAAAGGGTAATCTTCCCAAAACACAAAACTAAAAACACTTTCTCTGGACTTGCATAACAATTTATGTACAGCACGGCCGTTTTGGTTTTATGTTAAATTATGCTTATACGTGTTTTTCTTAAAGGAATGAAAGCTCTTTGGGGTCTGGAATTATGTTTTATTCACCTTTGTACTCCAGCCTCACAGAGCCCAGTGTAACACAAATGCCCAGTTAAACATTATCGATGCGGCCCCTCCACCCCGACACTCAAACACAATTTCGGAGAAAATAGGGAAGACCAGGCGTTGGATCTCACACCCTAACCTTGTTTCCCGATTCGGGGTAGAAGCCTTCTAAAGACAGTGACTGGGGAACACCTGAGAACTCCTACGTGGAAGAGCCTCAAAAAACCTTCCAGAAGGGGCTCCCTTTTAGATGACCCTGTCAGCACGTGGACAGCGGGGGAGACACTGCTCGGGTGAACATGACGGTGGTCGCTGCAGTGATATGGGCAGTTGTCTAAGTGGCCGAAGGGGAGAAAAAGGGAGACGATTCCCTTCTGCTCATAATGTCCCAACACACGACAGACGAGTCGTCTCCCCCATCCCCTTCTCCGGCTAGAGGCTGCGCCGGGCGCCTCCAGCTGCCGAGACCACTCACCTCGGCCACCCTGGGCACTGCAGAGGACACTCAGCCTGCAGAGAAGCGCCATCTCGTTCCTCAGGGCTCAAGGTCACCCAACAACCCGGAAGCAGTTATGCGACAACTTCCACCTCACGGCCACGAAACAAAACAAGCAGAAAAATGCTGCGGAAACCGGAAGTGCGCCAGAGGCGCGCGAGTCTCCGCGCATGCGTACACGCGCTCCTCGGAAGGTGCAGCGTTTTTTGGGTTTTTTGGGGGGTTTTTGGGGCAGACAATGGCGGAGCTAGGTGAGGCTGACGAAGCGGAGTTGCAGCGCCTGGTAGCGGCCGAACAGCAGAAGGCGCAGTTCACTGCACAGGTTCGGGAATGGGGACCTGCCCTGGGGGATGAAGGGAAAGGAGGGGGAAATAGAGATCCCGAGCAGCCGCAGAGCTCTGTACACTGGTGGCTCGTGAGTCCGCCCGGTGGTGGATCCCGGCTGCGCCTCGTTCCGCTCACAGAAGAATGAGTCCGGGCCTTTCCATCCCTGGCGATCTGGAGTATTCACGTGCTCTTTAAGGAAGCGAAGTGTGGGTAAATAATAAGGTGTAAAGCAGAGTTCCTTATGGGCGACGCATGGGCACGGGAACCTCGGTAATCTGCCGGCCATCTACCTAGATTGTCATTGGAGAGATCTGGGTTCTAAACCTGCTTCTTGCAGGCCATGTGCCCTTACTCCTACTGCCTCACTGAGGATGGTATGTATTTGAAAATGTTAATGTATTTGGAAACGATAAGATACGAGAACATTAGTGGGAAAAGGAGGGCTCTGCTAGTGTACATTTGTTTAGAACAAGGGTTTTAGCGCTTCTCGGGCGTGGTTCAAACTACCAGGTGTTCCCTTGCTCGCTGCACGACCTTGAGCTACTTACTTAACCATGCTCTTAAATGGTGGTAATGCCAGCCATTTTTTTAGGGTTTCAGAACTAAACTACATAGTACCCAATCTCCCCCAATGATAAGCTCTCAGTAAATGGTTATTTTCTCCTTTTTGGAGGGTAGGGGGTGAACAAGAACCGCGGTTAGAAATTTTGGGGTCCTAAACATTCTAAAAGTGCACACATTTTCTGTGCAGGATGCTTTTCTTAGGAGTGGATCTGTAAACTTCATGGGATCTTCAAATGTGTCTGTGACTATTGAAACAAGATTTAAGAACTCTAGGAGATAAGATTCAGAAGATGAGTGTAGTGGGTTCTAGTTTCCCAGTTTATACTCGTGATAAGTGGTTTTGTAAATGCAAGAAGGTATTAGTCCTACTGGAGAACTTTCAATCTGTAGGGATGAGGATCTGGGCCATTTGGTAACCAATTAGGAAATGAGGAAGAGAGCCCAAAATAACTAGTGTGATGAATGGTTTTGTCAGGTTAAAGAATATGAGGAGTTTTAGGCCAGTCTGTAGACTCCAATGGTAACTTTTTTTTTTTCCCTCTCAGGTGCATCACTTCATGGAGCTATGTTGGGATAAATGTGTGGAGAAGCCAGGGAATCGCTTAGATTCTCGCACTGAAAACTGTCTCTCTAGCTGTGTGGACCGCTTCATTGACACTACTCTTGCCATCACCAGTCGATTTGCCCAGATGGTACAGAAAGGAGGACAGTAGACCATCCCCTGGGAAAATGACCGAATCAGCAAAAGACTTGTTACTAAGCAGACTGAAAGACCACAGGGGAAGGTTGTCACCCCACTGTCAGGTCACCATCAGGCTGTTACCAAGTCTGTTGGTGCTAAAAGTAACAGATCAAATATTCAAAAGTGAAATTTATTTATTTGGAATTTAGAAATTCCAAGTTATATGACATCAGTTATTCAATAAATGTGATTTCTTCAAATCTTTTATGTTAATCCCATTTAGGATTTAATATAGAGTTCTTTGATTGACAGGAACACTAGAAATATGTTCCAAGGCTAGTTGTGCAAATGGGAGGTCTTGGGTTTTGGAAAGCTATCCTAAACCATAGTTAAGGGGATTGGGAAAAACCATTAAAGCCTTAATTTAAGGCATAGGAGAGGATTTGGGGTTGAGAAAGGTGAAGAACAGAAAACAGCTTTATTGCTTATACATGACCAAGAAGAGGTAAACATGGAGGGGGGGGGGGAAACCACCAGGTATGATGTGTACTCTTTGAGAAAGAGATAAGCCTGCTAGTACAGGAGGAGGGAAAGGTCAAGACCCAAATAGAGCCAGCTTCCTGGAGATACCTTATCCCACTGGCCCATTTTCTGGGTCGTTTGGAATCAGTACTTTTAGAGTACGGGAAACAAATGCTAAAAATACATGCTAAAAAACCATCCAACAAAAGTTTCACCTGTTCCAAAAACAAAACAGTTGCTTTAGGTTAAGAGGTAGTAATTACAGACTTCTTCCTCCATTAGGCCCTCACTAATCCCAAAGATAAAAATATACACCAAGGAATATTGACAATTGAGTTCCAAAGTATTATCATTTCAAATAAATATCCCAAAAGATAGCACCTGCTTATAATCAAGGATAGGGCACCTGTGATCAACCATATACTTTAAGACCAAGTACTTAAAAAATCTGTTCTCTAAAGAGAAAAGATTTAGAACTGTAAAATATCATCTCAAAATTTCACCACAGTTGTATTCTATTGCTGGTGTCTTAAATACTGTCATGTTACCACAGAGTATTTCTGTATTACATGTGAGGAAAGTAAAGCCAGAGAGATTAACTTACCTGCTCGAGACCTCATTACCAATTAATGGCAGAACTAAGACCCAAAATCTGAGTTTTCAAGCCTTTCACTCAGCACACAAAATGATAAGAAAGAACAATGACAATATCTCACTTGGTTTTTTCCCCCATAATGAAAAAATTCACAGGTGTTCTGGTTCCGCCAGCCTTCTTTTCAATGATAATTTGGTTTCTTAAGAATTGACATAGTAGGGAGTCACAGTATAGAAAGTGAAATGTGACCTCTGCTTGGTGTTTTAATCCAAGGCAGACTGGGAAAGAAGTAGATTATGTCCCTGAGAAATCTGTTTCATTTTTGGAACTGATTCAACTTAGTTTCAGGGAAAAACTTAAGGTTAATTAATAAATTTAGTAACAAACAAGGAAGACAATATTTAGATGGCAGTTGCTGCCCTGAATCCTGTGCAGAGTACCGTTTAACGGCATGACTATTTCCAAACTCTTCCTCATGTTTTAGAGGACTATTTATGACAACTGTAGAAATAATTTGAACACAAGTTCACTTAGGCAATATACAGCAATGAAACTGGAAAACCATTTACTATCCAATTACCATGCTTCAGATTATGCTAAGTTTAACTATAGGCCCTGTCCAGCAGGGAAATTTGAGAAAACTAGTCCCTTCTAACCTATGGGTGTCATCACGAAGGAAAAAGTTTTTGTTCTTCTGCCCATTTCCTTAAATAAACTGGATACCAGTGGGGTCAAAATACAGAAGGATCGAGACCAGCAGTTACCGTAATGGCTGTCGCTGGACTCACATATTCGACTGCGGTTCGAGTCCCGGACCTGGTGGCTTAAACTCACACTGGGCGTGTGTGTGCCCAAGATCCCGAGACGAGAATAGAGAAGGGATTGTGGCATGGCCATCTCCCCTGGGGGGTGATTTCTCGCTTTCTGTCTCTCTTTCTGGTGAGCGCATGCGCCCTATAGCAAAAACCTCTCCAGAAAAAGGAAAAAAAAAATACATAAGTATCAAAGCACCAAGGTTGAAGACAAGTCGGTTGTGACACCTGCTGTATAAACAAAAGAGCAACGGTGTTCCCTTGTCATCCATTCTACACACCACTGGTTCCAATCCACCTCTTGATCCCAGCCCTTGACTACCCCAAATTCAGCATTCTAATTGGTGTATCCAGGTCATTACTGGGTTCAGCTTTCTGGGTCCTTTAATTTGCTGTATATGTACTCTACACTGAATGTGATTCATTGCAAAAAATAATCTCTTCAAGAAATTGTCATGACAAAATACCAGATTCCCTATTAACAAGAAAAGGGGATCAAGTTTAACAGGCCAAAATAGAAGACGAGTCTGTCAGAACATGTTTGGATGGCACAAGACAGCTCTGACCTCAGGCCCTCTGTGCTGAACAAGAGTCACAGGCAAAACCCCAAGGCATAAGAACTGCAAGTATCTCAGTCAAGAGGGAAGTAAGAATGTTTCTTTCCCACTTAGTCATCCTCTGAGCTCTCAGCAGACCTTTCATCTGTAGCTACTTTCCAATTTGTGCGTTTATTTGTCCTCTCCTGTATTTCATTATTAGCTATAGGGATATGAACTTTTTTCTCTTTCTTTTTCCTTTTAGTTTTCTTAGTGTCTCTTTCTTCACTTTCTTCAGAACTGCTGGATGCTGAATCATCTGACTGGGAAGTGTCACTTTCTGCCTCTAAGAATAAAGCAGGTTTTTTGAGAGACTTTTTCCTGGATTTTTTCTTGCGTTTATGTGGTTCTTTCTTTTTCCTGGTACTAGAAGTTCCGGTTTCTTCTGAGAATTCACTTGAGGAATCTGCTGCTACATCTGTGGCTTTTTTTTTGTTTTTCTTCTGTTTTTTGTGTGACTTTTTTTTTTTCTGCTTTTTTTTGTGGGATTTCTTTGACTTCTTGTGTTTGCGGGATTCATGGGTAGATGATTTTACCTGAGATGTTTTTTTCCCATTGGTAATATCTTGCTGATCACTACTAGTGAAAAAGTAAAAAGAAGAAAGTTTTATGTAAAAATGGAAAAATATAGTTTAATATTGTGCTTCCTAGATAGGGAATTGAGGTTTGCCTCTGAATTTTAAACCAGAACTTTGACATATGAGACTATTCTCCTTGAATTTGTTTCATCTTTAAGATGAAGATAAAAATTCTAATCTGCCATACTGAGTTGCTGTACTGAATACTATATAAAACCCAAAATGTTGGTACCAGCAGATGGTATAATATTGCTGCACTCCCACATGGCCTACTGCAGTTCTACTCCTGGACCCGGCAGCTTGAAATGCCAGATGCATGTACATGTGTGTCCAAGAGGAGAGTGGAGGAGAAGGGACTGCAGCATAGTCATCCCTCCTAGAGGGTGACTTCTCACTTTCTATCTCTCTGGCTCTCCAGCAAGTACACCTGCCTTATAGCAAAAATCTCTTAAAAAAAAAAAAAAGAAAAATCCTGAAATGCTTATAGACATGACAAACATCAATCAGGGAAAGGTAAAACAGCAATCACCTCCAAACTAAATCACCTATTGTTTCTCTAGTATCCTTTCAATGGAAAATATATCTTTTGTGAACATTAGGAACCCAATTTACAGTGCAGACCTTATAGTAATCTCAGTTTCTAACTTGTTTCAGTAAACCTATTTGCCTTACCTGTCTGTTTCAAATTCTTCAGGGTATAACTCTTTATAACCACTGTGACCCCATCTGTAAAATGACACGTTACGTGTATTGTTAAAGCAGAAAGACTTAAGCATAAGCATTCAAAGATAAATATATAAAGGACAAATAAAACAGAAATATGGTAGAGCCTATCCTACATTATAGTTCAGTACAATCAAACATCCTATGTTATACACAATCATTTCAGACAAAGGCTTCCTTTGTCCACTTCTAAGAGAACTTGCCATTTTCCACAAGAAAGACTAAAGAACTTTTTTTTTTTTTTTTTTTGAGGTTTTCGCTATAGGGCGCGTGCACTCGCCAGACAGAGAGAGACAGAAAGCGAGAAATCACCCCCCAGGGGGGATGGTCACGCCACAGTCCCTTCTCCTTCATTCTCCTCTTGGGATCTTGAGCACGCACGCACACGAGCCCGGCATGAGTTTTAAGCCACCGGGTCCGGGACGCAAACCGCAGTCGACTATGGGGAAGTCCAGCGACATAGCCATTACACTAACTGCTGGTTCCCAAGACTAAAGAACTTTTATACACTGCTTTTTAGCAGTATATACTGCTTTTCAAAAAACACACTGTGTTATAAATAACAATGCTGTCTATGTTGGGATAATTAATAATTTTCTAAATAACAACTTTATTGAAATGTATTTCACATAGCATAAAATTCATCCTCTATTCCATGAAAACAATATTTGTTTACTTCCTATCCCTATGGATTTGCAGGTTCTGGATATAATACATAAGTAGAATCATATACTATGTGGCCTTTTATATCTGGCTTCTTTCACTTAATGTTTTCAAGGTTCATCCATATGGATGGAGGGATGAATATTGCATCCCTTTTACTGCCAAATGCTATTCCACTGTATGGATAGATCACATTTTGTTTACCCATTTGTCAGCTGATTGATATTTATGTTTATACTTTCTGGCCATTATGAATAATGTTGCTATGAACACTTGTGTAGAAGTTTTTGTGGAGACCATTAATTTTGACAGATATCCATTCTCAGGCCAAATATTAAGGGTAACAGGAATTTAGTAACAAACCTGTCTGGCATGTTAGCTTCATAATCATATAACTTCTTGTTCCAAGATTTAGTCTTTAGAAAATCATCTTCCAATGTCCCAGAAATTTCATTCTTTGGCCTCCAATAGTCTCTTTGACTTTCTTCATCAAAACCATCACTACGCATCCGGCTATAAAACAAATCAAAAGAGCTTTTACATTTAAAAGCAATCTGTGAGGTTAATTTATGAAACATCATGCACAAAATTCATGGAATAAGCTGAGAGGGGAACAAAACAACCTGATTCTTAGTGTTAAAACAAAATATAAAAGACATAATCTGTTCCTTTCCAAACATCTGTAAAATCCAATGGAAAAAAATCTGACAATTAGTAACCATCCTAGTCAGAGAAAAAAAAATCACTTCTGGACTGTCATGCTGCTCATTCACTGGTTCTCAACTAGAAACACATGAAAAAGAGGAAAGCAGAGCATAACAACTGCTGGGGACATTTCAAACTACTTTAAAGACTCTGAATATACTTCCTTCCCCACAAACCAGCAACTTGTAACAAGGTTAAAGTAACAATGGGAACAAGGCAAAACTCATGGGAATATTAGGGTAAGGAAAAAGTTGAGAAGAACTGATCCAGCCCCTCTTTACAACATTCACTAAGCAGCCAGTAACCCAATATGTTATCAAGAGGTTTTCAGGGCCTCCCACATATTCTAGGCACTGTTCCAACTGGTAGAAATATAAAAGCAAATGATGGAATGAGCAGATGGTGGATTGGACTCCCACATAGTAGACGAGTCCTGGACATGGCGACTTAAAACTCATGCTAGGTGTGTTGTGTGTGCGTGCCCAAGATCCTGAGAGGAGAATGGGAGAAGAGATTGTGGCATAGCTATCCCCCTGGGCGGCGGGGGGCGGGGGGGGATTTCTCGCTTTCTGTCTGTCTCTCTCTCCGGAGAGCAGATGTGCCCTATAGCAAAAATCTCTTTTAATAAAAAAGAAAAAAGAAATATAAAAGCAACTGAAACAATCAGAATCCTTGCCCTTGAAGAGAGATGTTTTGGGGCCAGCAGGTGATGTAATGGTTACAGTGTTGGACTCCCACATGGCCAACTGCAGTTTGAGTCCCAGACCTGGCAACCTAGAAATCATGCCGAGTGTGTCTGCATGTGTACCAAAATCCCAGGAGAAGAATGGAGAAGGGATTGTGGCATGGCTATCCTCTCTGGGAAGTGATTTCTCACTTTCCCTTTCACCATCTCTCTCTTTCTGTCACCAAATGCATGTGCCCTATGACAAAAACCTTAAGAAAAAAAGTGTTTTAAAGACTTGTTAACCTTTTTGGGAGACCAGCAGTTAGCGTAATGGCTATGTGGCTGGGCTCCCACCCGGGCCAACCCCGGTTGTGTCCCGG